AATGAAACCATCCTACCTCCTTGTTTTATTATCATGGTAAACTTTCCTGAGCTGATTCCTTTGGTAATAAATGGGCTTAACGTGTTGTCTTCTGAAGATTTAAAGGCCATTTTATTTCATGCTTCTTTTAATTTCGCACACTTTGTTATAACTTCTTTCAGAGGATTTCTTTAGAATTATAGTTTTGTTCTGACATTGATCGATGCGTGTTTACTTGGGCACCTGAGATTATTTGCTTCTAAATGTATGTACATTGCATAGATTTTGTGTGTGAGATGCTTCTTCTGGAGATAATATTAGCAAAACAGTATGATCAGAAAAAAAGAATACTTGTTTTTTTCTTCTAAGAAGGAAACCTTTGGAGTGCTGTGAAAGGGGTCAGTTTATTTTGTTATTCTGGGGACAAAAATGAGTTTAATCAACATTTGTGCATTATGATAAATACTGTCAAAATAATTTGTTAGTCAAATCTATTGTCAACGGAGAATTATGAAGTCTTCTCTGATCTGTTTTAAATAACACTTGAACTGTGAGATTGCCAGATATTGTATTCACTGGAGCATCCCTGGCTCTTCTGTTAGGTAGCTGACTCTTGAGCCAGCTGCTGACTGCTACATGACCATTAAATAGAGTTTCACACAAATTGAGTAATGCAGGAGTAACTGGTGAATAACTGGACATGAAGGATATGTTTTTAAAACTTCTCTACACAGAATAAAATGCCATTTTTTTTTTTTTAATAGCTGATTACTACTAGGGGTCAGGACTGACACCAATGCTCTTTAATGTCTTTATTAGTGACGTCAACACTGGGAAGAAGTACACCGTCAGAAAGTTTACAGATGACACCAAGCTGTGTGGTGTGGCCAGTAAGCCAAAGGGACAGGGTGTCATCCAGAGAGACCTAGATAGGCTGAGCAGTGGGCCCAGGAGAACCTCATGAGATGCAACAAAGCCAAGTGCAAGGTCTTGCACCTGGGTCGTGCCAACCCCAACTGTCAGTACAAGCCGAGGGACAGAAGGATAGATTACAGCCCTGACAGAAAGGATATGGGGTACTGGTGGATGGCAAGCTGGGCATGAGCCAGCAATGTGCTGGCCAGAAAGCCAACTGCATCCTAGGCTGCATCAAAAGAAGCATGGTCAGCAGGCTGAGAGAGGTGATCCTGCCCCTCTACTCTGTGCTGATACCTCACTTGGAGAACTGCATCCAGATGTGGAGTCCTTAGTACAGGAAAGACATAGACCTGTTGGAGCACATCCAGAGGAGGGCCAGAGAAATGATCCCAGGGATGGAACACCTCCCTGTGCGTACAGGCTGAGAAAGCTGGGGCTGTGAAGCCTGGAGAAGAGAAGGCTTCAGAGAGACACGAGAGCAGTATTTCAGTATCTGAAGGGGGGCTGTAAGAAAGAAGAGGACAGAATCTTGAGCAGGTTCTTTGGTGACAGAACAAGGGGAAGGAAATGGTTTCAAATTAAAAGAAGAGAGATTTAGGTTGGACATAAGGAAAAGGCTTTTACAGTGAGGGTGGTGAGGCACTGGCACAGGTTGCTCATGATGTGGTGAAAGTCCTCATCCCTGGAGACATTCAAGGTCAGGCTGAATGTAGTTCTGGAGCTGCAGGGGAGTTGGACTAAATGACCTTTAAGTGTCCCTTCCAACCCTAAGGATTCTACAGTTCTATTCTCCTACTGCTACTGGCTATTATTCTGTGTTTATGGTATCAGAGACTGGTAAGATTAAAACTAGATAGTGACACAGTACATTGGAAGGGAAAATACAATGTGAGAGTGCTTTCATATTAGGTTTAAAAATATTTATCATAACTTGTATATCCAAAAGGGACACTTTTTCTCCACTGTAAGATGTGTTCATTCTTGGAACAGAGAATGTTACAGTTGGCTACTGAACTTAAATACTTCATATTTTTCCAAAATAACTTTCCCAATTTTCCTTCTTGGCCGAATCTCATAACTAAAAATAGATAAGGTATTGTAACTGGCATATCCTTGTGTTGTGATTTGTTGTTAGAATATTATTAGTGTCATTGTTTTAACACACCTAAATACTTCATCTAGGCCTTACCTCTAGTGATGTATATACTTCTCTTTGTGCATAGACATGATCTTTTTTTCAAGGTCACTTGTGTATGCTTTATAAAAATTAACTCTTCATTTTGTTTTCATCCTGATTATTTCTAAATATGTCTAAATGAGGATATATTTAAAATTCAGCATGAATAAGATGTGATTTTTTATTTTTATACTTCAGCTAATTTCTGGGTTTTTCTTGGAACCACAAGGATAAGAAAAAAAAAAAAATCAGTCATGATAGTCACTGAGTAGATGAAAACAACGTTGGTATGTGTGATTCTGATTTCAGAAGATGTGCAAGGAATCAGTGAAGGAAGATTATGAACGATCATTGATTTCTTGGCGTTTGTCACTAGTTGTGTCTGAGCTCAACCAAATCATATTACAAATCAAATTTATATTATTAGTCTCTGTTCTGTTCATCTAGCTAGATGACTAATGATTAGCATGATATAGCAGTGTGGATGGAACTTCAGACTTGTGGGTGGAAGAGATCAGAGGGGAGGGGTTACATGACCTTAGGTACTACAGAAATTTGCACAGTGTCTCAAAAGCAGAAGACAACATGGTATCTAAGAGATGAGATTTGATCTTTGGAAATACGTACTATTCTGTCAATTTAAAACTGTTTCATTTTTCATGGCCATAAAACGATGCAACTAAGGACAAGTTGGATGTGGCTTTGGGCAATCTGGTCTAGTGGTTAGTGACCCTGCACATAGCAGGGGGGTTGAAATTCGATGATCACTGCAGTCCTTTTTAACCCAGGCCATTCTGTGATTCTATGATTGACAGCCCTAGCAGTCTATCTTGAATTTCCTGCAAGGGCTCTTTGTATCTTTGTTTTTAAGGTCTATTTCCCTTCTTCTGTATTCCTGCACTATGGGAATAGCCTCAGTGGAGCTCATAAAAACAGGAAAACAGGTCGATAAATACACGCTTTAGGCAGTCCTGTACATGGGCACAAAATGATCTAAAACCTGATTTAACCTCAGGCCAGTCATGATACTGAATAGCTGGTACCTATAATGAGTCTGAGTGGCATGCAGCCCTTGTCATGTGGATGTGGTTGGGCAGATAGAGATCATCATTCAAAGAATAGTACAACTCTTGTCATCATGACTGCTGCAGGATTGTGTTGGCTTTTATTGAGAATAAGTAAGTAGCAAATTGGAATGAAAAAAAGGGATGCCTCTTTTCAAAATGAAAATCTGGGAATTCTCCATTCAGCCATACTGTAGGAGTCAAAACCATTTGATTTTTATTTGAATGTCATTCCTTATTTTTTGTCTCATGCTTGGCCTCTTATCATATTTCTCAGTTTTCTCACAATGACCCCAGGAGACTTACCACACTTCTGTTTACTGCTTGATCTAATCCTTCTCCTGGAAACCACTGTCATGACTTGCAGGCCTCCAAAGCCTCTCCAAAGTTCAGTTTCTTCCTTCCAAAGCTCCAACCTGTCTGTAATCCTTGCAAGCTGACTTTGTTAAATCTCAGAGTCACTGAGATCTCTGGCACTCAGTGTCAGAGTGCAACAAGATTCATCCATTAAGAAATATTCCATGCAGTGTTGTCCTACTAAACACATGTAAATTGTCTAAGCTGCTTCAGGTTTGCCAGCAATTCATTGACAATTCAGTGTTTTCTACTTCTTATTCCACAGGTGCATTTATAAAGTCTTGCATGTTGAACAGCTAGGAAGTAAGGGGTAGAGACAAAAGAAGGAGTATGTGCAGGAAGCTGTTTCTATGGAGCTTAATTTTATTTGAACACAATATCCTGTATTCTCTGAGCTGTGTCTTGTTTGCTTGTTTCCTTTAAATCTATGCATACATACACTTGAGGGTATTGCTAACGTACTTTCTAGTAGTCTGTAACAAACTTCTTGCAATCAATAGTGATGTAAGGTCTGGATCAAAGCCTGTACTGACCATACAAGTCCAAAGAAGAGAGAACTGATACAAGAGGCAATCGTAACCTAGCAAAATTGTATCAGTGAGATTTAGCTTACAACTCCCAGTATCACTAAATGTGGCATCTTGCCATGTTATTGATATTGGAGACCAAGCTTTTCTCTCCCTTTCCTTGCCAAGAGAAGTTATCAAATTCTTGCAAAGCAATGAATCTGAGAAGCTGAGGTGTTGCATCAAAGGCAAAAGATCAGTGTATCTGTCGCAGATGCATTTAGGAGGAGCTAAAAATTTAAGGTCTGATTTCTTTGGTGGTGGTTGGTTTTGGTTTTCATGGATCTTAGTGTGTGTTTTCACTTAGAATAGAGAAGGTTCTCAAAAGTGCTGTTTTATGATACAAGCAAAGCCAGATTATGCAGATAAGAAATACATCGACCGCTGTACATTTGCAGCCTAATTTTATTAGCTGCCCATTTACTTCATGCAGGTATCCAACTATTAAGATCTTCATGTCTGGTTCCCTTCCTGTTAATAAAACAATCTAATTGTGATAGTTTAATGCTTACTTTTTAAAAATTGCTTTCTATGTTCATTTCTTGATAATAGTACTTAGTTGGTAATAGCAAGTCCACTTGGAACGGACACTTTCTGTAAAACAGTATGCCAGAATTTTTGTGTGGCCTTGGGCTGTGGGAACCAGCGGATGCATGAATATCCTGCAGTTGTTTTGGTCATGATTATATCGCAGGTGGCAGGTTGCCAGTAGCAACTGCAGTAAAAGGTCCAGTGAGTCAGTGTCTTCCTCTGGGTGATAAAACACAGCATTTGCACTTTCTGAACCATCTCAGAGAGGATTTGTAGCAGATTTTGGAGGTCTTGAAAAAACAAGAGATGGAAGTGGATAAGCTTGCAGGTTGTATGCCAACCTGTCCTTCTGTTGGCTCCTCCAGTCTTGGCACAACTGACGCTTTTTTTGCCCTTCTTTCTAGAACATTTAAAAGAGAAGCTGGAGGAATACATGGTCCGTTTTGCCAAAGTGAGGATTGTACGTACCAAGAAACGAGAAGGGCTCATTCGGACCAGACTGTTAGGAGCCTCGCTGGCTAGAGGAGAAGTCTTGACATTTCTGGATTCCCATTGCGAAGTCAACGTGAATTGGCTGCCTCCCCTGCTTAGTAAGTGTCTGAGTTTTCATCAGCCATTAAAAGTAGAGCATATAGCACAGTTTAAGCAATCCAGGCCACAGCTCACAATAAGGACATAAAATGTATAGAAGCATTTGGAGTTGCACTGCAGTGGCTGAAGAGGCAGTATGAGGGAGAACTCAGAGAAACCTGAGCTCCAATTTATGGGGTTTTTTTTGCAACCAAAGAACTAGTGAGACTTAGAAGTGACACTTTGGCCTATCAGAGTTATGTTAGAGTTACATTTTGTTTTGTTATTGCTACTACTAAATACACTACTAAATCGAGTATTGTGCTATGCCTTTACCATGCACCTGAAAACTTTTGTTATGCATTTTTCGTACTCCTTCCTAGGTTTCCACATTCCATTAAAATAGCTTTCACTGTAAATGTATCTAGGACTTCAGAGTTAAATCCAATAACAACACATTCACAATAGAAAGCTCAGAGAGAATGATTAGCTATTGACTGCTTTGCTGGATTCCAGCTGCACCCAGCAAAGCTCCATTAGTCAAAGAAATGGAAAGAATCAATTGTTGTAGTCTAGGATTTCACTTAGGAAACAACGTCCCCTTTTCTGCTGTCCTGATTACATACGAAGTTTATGAAAATGAGTGCTTTCTGCTAGCAAAGCTAAATAAAACTTCTGAATTTGTTATTAAGGAAATTTATATTAATTACAAGAATATGACGTAAGGGTATGATAGGAAAGTGTTTTGTCACCTAGTGGTTTATTGTTTCTTGAATCTTGTTCCTAGGCCTGGTTTGGCCATACAATAAGCCAATAAACATTTACAGCCAAGAAGAGGCATTGTTCTGCTAATGAACAACCGCTTGAGACCAAAAAACAGAAATATTAACTGTTTTTCTTCAGATCAGTGGAAGGATAATTACAAAATTCCAAATTTACATTTTCTAGCTTCCATATCAATTTATACTCTCTCCATTTGTTACCATGCTGCCCTTAATCACAAGATCAGCATTTTTAGCAGTAACCTCGTTGTCTTCATGTAAAGTGCAAATGGCATAAAGGAGTAGAGAGATATGTGAGTTTCAATGCTCCTTCCACAGGCAGCCCTGACAGATACCCCTTAAACACCCTGGAGTGCACATATACAGCTTTCCTTTACCTTCTGATTTTTCCCTGAAGTGCACAGTACATCACTACTAATGTAAAAAAAAATCAGGAAGATTGTCGCTCTTGTCTGCTGAAATCTTTTGCTAAGTTGTTGTAGATGAGATTTAACCCTTCTGTTTTGCTAGCTTAGACGTGGGAAAATTGCAAATTGCAAAAACAGTTCCTTTTCCTGTTTTCTTGTGTTAAGCAAAGATACATCTAGCTGGGTTTCACCACATAAATAATGCTAAAGAGAATGGTCACAAAGAATTCATAATAGCAACTAAGTTCATGGGGATGTTGCACTGATGATCTCATTCCTCAGCCTTGAGAAAGAAAAGTGAAAAGATGATAGAAGCTCCCTCAGGGACCAAGACCCTGTTCTATCCAACTCTCAAGTGCAACATCATCTTTCTCAGTCTGCTTTCGGTGGAAATACCCTTAGCAAACCAGACAGAGGGTCTGGGAAATAATCTAGTGGAACACAGGAGCCCAGGTTCAATAGCCTTGATTTTGAAGAAAAGAATAAGAGCATTACATGAGGGAGGGCAAATAGAGAACAAACACTCAATGTAAAAACGCCTTATACTCTCTTTCCCCAAAGGGAAGAGGAGATTTTCTCAGGATCATTGGGTAGTTAGCTACTAATAATAGTAAAGCTGGTAGACATAGATAGATAGATATTTGCAGGCAGCTGTAGCCATGTAAAAATGTTGGCAAACACAGCTGGTTGGTATCACTTCTCAGTAGTGTGAAGTCAGCTGAAGGAGAACTGTGATTTGGACTCCAGCTGCTGTAGTTGAGTCCAGTGTAGTGCAAAAATCAGTTGGCTTGAAGTAAGAAACAGAGGGGCAAACCAGCTGGAAGATGCAAGCGTATCTTACATTAGGAGAAGTTGGGATAGAAAGCAGTGGGCAGCAAAGGCAGCAGCATGTTCACATCTGTAAAGCTATGATACCAGTACTCTTGGGGAGCATAAGCTTGCCCCTACAGCACTTTTATCTGCGTCCTGAATTCATATTAAGGCTACATTTAAGCCTCTGAAGCCTGTATGTAAAATTCATTATTTCAGGTATACTGAAAGAAACACTAAGGCTGAAAGTTTGATTACTTTGCCTTTTGGTGTGCACTGATATGTAATTTAACACCCTACCTTCCTTCAGTGTCCAAATTTTGCTGTGGTTCCTCATTGACCAGGCATGTTAGCACCATCCTACTTGCAAAAGTGTTGCAGACCTGTAGGAAGAAAGATGGGGTTTGAGTTTGAGCACTGCTCAAACAGTTGTATCACTGGCTGTCCTTGCTTGTTTCCAATCCTTCAGCCTATTTAAAGGCAGCAGCTCTTAAAGAGAAATATGTGAATGCATCATGAGTCTACCTTTGACCCACACCATCGAAATCAACCCCGTTTAGTTTCTCACTTCCAATCTGTTCACAAAGCAAGGATCAGAGACAGATTATCATAAGCCCTGTAACTATTAGCAGGACCATCACAGGAAAGAGATTACATAAAAATGACCTTACATGATGATTACAGATAGCACTACATAGTATATCAGTGTATGTAATTATATTTGGCAATTGCAACAGTAATGCAGCCATTATCTCTCAGAAGAGTTTCCTAGAATATTGGGAGAGCTGCGCTTTAAATTTATTTCACTGTTCAAGATTTAGGATGTAAATCTTCCAGGTACAGCTATTTCTCACTAGCAGACAGTGTTGTTTCCCCATTTGGACAGTCTCTTAATAATAGCTGAGAATAAATATAAAAGCTACAGAAGTTTTGCGAAAACATATAAAATATCTATCTATCTATCTATCTATCTATCTATCTATCTATCTATCTATAATTTTCATTTCAGTCCTTCATAAATAGGGAAACAAGGTCTACATTGGTAATAATCATGCTAATATTTCCTGCCTTACTATCTAAGTGTTCATTATACATTCCTCCCTCTGATATTTGGGGGCTTTTCTAGGATATTTCCAAGCACTAGTGAAATCTAATCCTTATTAAAAAAAATCATGTAGGCTTAGAAAATGTATTACATTTTGTAGAGAATCTAGGATATCATTTGGAGAAAAAGCTTTACTACAGTTACAATGTTGAGACCTTGTTTTTTCAAGGTTTCATGGATAATTTTTCTGCTGTTCTTTAATTCTAGAGCAGCTACAAAGTTTTCATGTACTTCCTCACTTCAAAACATGATTCTTCTGCCTAATTCCTGCAGTTGGCATATCTTCTTTCCTTTTATTTCTTTTCTGGGAAGCTCTAAGGGATTAAGCAATAGGATTCTCCAAAGGCAGACTCAGGCCCACACTGCTTTTATATTAGAGACGGGAATTTGATTTTGTCTCAAAGCTTCATTTTTTTTTAAGTCAACTGAAACTCCCTTCTTTATAAAACAGGTGAGTAAGAATAATGCTCTAAGGCTTTCTCTGTACTGCCAAGAAAGGCACAAAAAGGACGGCAGCCCTGTTTTGTTCCTTGTGTTGGAATTTGCCTTTAATTTTAGCTTTTGATCTCAGAGCTGATGTTCACCAGTGCTACAGAGAAGGGGCTGAATGGTTGCGAAGTCTGAGATTTGCATTTGGGAACATGAATCTCTTTCACAGGAGCTTGCCATACACACTCCCCACAGCTGAAGGAGTATTTTTACATTTTGCTTGCTGGCTTGTTGCATAGCTGACAGATTGGGGACAGCTCAGAGTAGCAAAGTGACAGAGATACAGATGACTGGACTCCTGTCAGTCTCAGAGGGATATGCCTCCCGTTAAAGAACTGTAAATGCTTCTAATCATTGCCCAACTGCATTAAGTCCGCTTAGACAAAGGCTTGATACAGATTTGAAAAATGAAATGTTTTGGGGGCCACAGGAAACAAAGCAACCAATCTTCAAACATCAAAAAACCTGTGGGATTCGCTTTGCAGTAATATGACAGATGGCTTGACTAGACATGCCATTTCCTATTTTCTACTTTCATTTTTCAGACCAGATTGCACTAAACCACAAAACCATCGTGTGTCCTATGATCGATGTCATTGACCACAATCATTTTGGCTACGAGGCACAGGCAGGGGATGCCATGCGAGGAGCTTTTGACTGGGAAATGTACTACAAAAGAATCCCGATTCCTCCTGAGCTCCAGAGAGCTGATCCCAGCGACCCCTTTGAGTAAGTAGCAATAAAGGGGAGAGTGGGAAAATGAAGCAAAACGAGCAAAGAAGGCGGCTGCAATACAAGAAGCCAGGCCCAGGAATTTCCATGCAGGCTGCATCACAGTAATTAAAGGTAGTAGAAGCAAGCAGCTATGAACTTCAAACCGGCAAAAAGATCAGGGCAACAAGTTGTCAAATTCACAAGCTGTGCTCAGTAACACTTCCTGATCTTTTCTGGCCTGGTGGCTGTGTGAAAAAGAAACAGACATACAGTTAAGAGGAAGTATTGGCATTGGGAAAGCAAAGAACGTGACTACAGTAATTCTCTCTACTCCACAGAGTGCTTTCTGAACAAATTTTAGTTGTGTTTTCTTTGCTGAGGGTTGTTACAGTACATGCATTAATCAATCACTGTGTCCACATTTGTGGCAGCAAATGCTTTGTTTATGACTGGTGATGCTGCTATTGTATGTGTGTTGCTATAATTTTAACACAGGACTCTCAAACCTGATCAGTGTCACGCTGATCTGTATGTAATTCTTGATAAGACAGCCTGTAATACCAAAATTATATAGATCTGCTCATTCAAAGGAATGGCTGTCTACTCTTCATAAAATTGTATTTTTTAAAATTTTTTTCTTTTTATTCTCATGTAAGGTTCAGCTGGGGTCAGTCCTCACCAGCAAAGAGAGGTTAGGCAGGCAGACATGGTTCGGTGTGATTGAGTCTCCAGGTCTCTTGTTCAGTGTGCATCTCAGCAGGGCTGGCAGGCAGATTTGCTGTGATTCTCATTCCTGTCTGAAATGCCACACTGCAGATTTTGACAGTTTAGAAAGTCAGCATTTTCCCCTCCTCAAAACAAAACCTGGAAGCAATAGCAACAGAAAATCATTGTCTCTGGCCCAGACTCTGTACTATTTCAAATGAAAGGATGTGATTGTTGCAGAGCATGACCCTTGTATCCAGGGGTTGACTAGTACGTTGAGAAGAAGTAGGTAATTGCAGCATTCTGTGGCTTATTTTCATTGTTCTCCTTGTTCCTTTTTACCTAGCAGTCTCCCTTCCAGGCACATCAGTCTTCATCTTTCATTGGTTTAAGTGCTGATAAAGTACTTTCCTTCTACTGCCAGTGTGACAACTCTTCAACACAGATGCAGCAAATGCAATCACAGAATGATTCAGAGCTGCTAGATGCCCCACTACTCTTCCACAGGTCTTCCTGGTCCTCTGACCAGCTGTGATTTCTTGCTGCTTACTGAAAATCACCTCATACATCCTATAATTTGGTTCAGCATTTAAAGTTTGTGTATAGGTAAAACTTAGCTATTGCAGCTAGAGAGTTGTTTATCAGCAGTTTCACACGCTTACAGTTTGTCATATTCATCTCTCAAAAATGAGAGGGCTGAAGAGGAGATTCTTGAAAGAAGCTTTATAGAGCAGATAAGGCTTCACATGTGCTACAGAACAGATGAGGCAATTTTGCATGAACTGTTGTTGCCAGCATGGCAGCAGTCAGCGCCCACCTTGCCCTACCTCCATATGTAACACACAAAGAATATGTGATGTGTAGATCTCCTGTAATTTGAGTCACTGCCTCCCCAGAAAAGCACGTCTTTCTAATTTCTAAATAAATCAAGGATTGCCTTCCTTTGTTTTCCCCATCACTGAATCCACATCAAAGGGGTGCAGGTTGAAAAGCAGTCATGCACAGGGACCCATTGTATCCACCCCACAGAATTGAAGACCAGCTGAGCTAGGAAAATCTGTTTGCTCAGACGTACCCATTGCCAAGAATGGCAAGGGTAGAAGTGTTTTTAATGATCAATGTTTTTGCTTAGTTAAGAAATTGTTTTCTAATTGAAAGTCAGTACTGCTTTTCTCCTAGGGCCTTCTCTGTTGACACCTTGAGCTTTTAATACTTTCCTTACAACAAATAACATAAATGTTGCAGAACTCACATTTAAATATCAGTAACTTAATTGACTGAGGCAGCTTATACAGAATTAAAGAGGCAGAACTGTTTTCCTTTAGGTACATACTCTAAAGCTAGAAATGGCTTCAGTGAGAACTGTAATTATTATGTTACTATTTTGTAAGCAGTAGGGGTGTATATATATATTTAAGTTAAATATTGTTCTATTGGTATTCTAGTAGCTCTGTTTCTTGCTAACAGCATCAGACCTTAGTTGATCCTTAACGAGTGGAAAATTGCCAAAGTTTTTAGTAAAATACCAGCAAATAATGGGTATGAGATCCAAAAACTGTGCAGCTCAGTTTTTCCCCTCACTTGAAATGCCAGCCTATGTTCAGCAGAAAAGGCCACATCAGCCTTAATGTACATAAAAACAGATCAAACTGCAGAATACCCAAAATTAGTCATTGCATCATCTCTATGATGCATTTTCTTTCCATCTGCATATGATCAGTATACTGTTCTAGTGGACTTCAGCAGTGTTTGCAATTGGCCCAACAAACTGAAGTGCGTTCATGTAAGCTTTGCTGTGACAGTAGTATGGAGCTGACTGAATTCCAGTACTAGCTGAGCTAGCATTTCTGGAATTAATTTTTTTCCTTTAAATATATATATCTTTTTCTATCCAGAGTCTTTGAACTCCTTGTTGATTTCCCTTTGTTCTATGCCATGGAAGCAACGGGCATTTTGTATAGTATTCAACTGACTTATTGCACTTACAGCCCATCACAGTTGACTGTAGTGATTTTTTCTCTTTTGATGCACGTACAGCTCTACGATACATTCTGAAGGGGACTTCAGGGAAACAACCATGTTGTTTCGCTCTGATGTATTTAGGGCTGAGTATCAGACACAGAGCAAATTGATTCTGCTGTATTGTGGGAAGCGGTCTTTGTAAGATAAATGTGAAATCACCACCATGCCATGATGATGCTCAATGACTTGATCCCAAGGTCCCTGATTGTTCAGCAGAACTTGAGATAACTTGTAAAATGTTCTTCTGGTCTATAAATTGGGAGCAGCAGAGATGTTTACCTCCTCTGTGGCAAAGTTCATCATGGCTTGTGTCTTTCATTGACTTGTTTCTCTGCCATGGTAGAGATTGGGGCATAGCTCACAAGCTCTGGTGTTGCTGTTTCTCTTCCTGTGGTGCAAAACACTCACCCACCTCTGGAGGAGTTTTCCCAACCCAAGCAGTTGCTAGTTAAAATAATAGGGTAACCTTGTTACTATAATGGACCGTGATATAGAGCATGTTAGTGTATATGATCTACTAGCCTGTCTGGGCTAAAAGCTCTGTGGAAGTTTAAAGTAGGACTTTGCTCAAGCCTGTTGGGGATGACTGATCTTTATTTCCTGGCAGCACTTACATAACATCGATTTACATTATCATGTATCCTGTCTGAAAGCAGGCATCAGTGTCCTTTGGTACCATCAGCAACTGGACAAGAAATCATCAACAATTCAGCTTAAGAATCTGTTTCAATAAAATCACATAATGGAGACAATTAGCATAGGTTAGGATAGGAAAGGCTGCACAGCTCCTCAGAGCAGTTTTGTTTGAGGTGTATCTTCATGATACAGTATGGAGAGAGAGGTGTGAGCAAGACCTGACAGCATTGCTATGAAACTGCAGCTCAGAATGGAAATGAGAGGAGGGTTCTGCCACTTACTGAATACCAAAACTTCCAGCATCTGGAAAACTCCAAGCGTGGAGTTTCCTTGTATGAATACTACTTGCTCTTGAGCTATTCCTTTCTATAATTCCCTATTAGCATTCTGATGTAGAGGTGTCACCTCCAAACCTCCCAAAAGACAGTCAAAGCTGGAGAGTCACATAATTCTAGCTAAGGACCAGAAGAATAGTTTGGAAAATACTCTTCTAGCCAGTGAGTTAGAAGACTTTTTGTAGCCTTTTCTGAGACTTGTGCTCTTTGTACTCTCTTTCCCTTCTATGAAATAGGAATAGAAAAGCCTCACTATGCCAAGGCTACATTGGGTACAAGTGCAGCCAAGGTTGTAGGACTGAGGTTTCACAGTAGTGTGTGGCATCCATACATTCATTTAGTATGAATGTACTTCTGCCATAAGATAGGCTGCCCAGAGAGTTTATGAAGTCTCCCTGTTAGACTCTTTCCTGTGCAACCTACTATAGGGAACCTGCCATAGCAGGGGAGTGGTGGACTTGGTGATCCCCAGTGGTTCCTTCCAAGCCCTACAGTTCTGTGATTCTAGTAAAATTTTGGATCTGCTCAGTGAATTAAATTAGGTAATTAGTGTATTGTTCTCTTGCCTAACAGACTGTCAGCCTTCAGTATAAAACATGACTTTAATATGATCAGTTGTGCATTAGATTGCCTGGCACTTTCTGTTGATTTGCATTTTTACAATCATATTATTACTATGTAAGCTGTTGTCAGGCTGCTCTTTTATTTGGATTTATTATACTCTAGCTTAGAAATGTTCATTTTTCTGCAATTCCTTACCTTCAGTATTTATACATATTTTTAACAACATGATGGTACAAAGAAACTCTTTGCATAGGCTGCATTTCAAATCTGACAAGTACTTTTACAATTTTATGATCATTTTCTGAAATTTAGAAAGAGCTAAGGATGAAGACTGCTGTTCTGTAGCTCCCAGTGCTTTATAGTCTGTATCTTTTATGGCTGATTTCTGCCTATAAACTTATTCACAAAACCTCTCAAAACCAGAAACAATCGGGTTTTTTTTGTTTTTTTTGTTTGGTTTTTTTTTTAGTATAATCTACTGTTTTGAACTGTGCTTCAGGAATATTTTATGCAAAGGCATTATTCTACAGGAAAGCAGTTGCCAGCCAGTATGAGTTTGTGCAATTTAGGGTCTTGATTTATTGTTTTGACAAGCAATGGTTTGTAGACAAAATGGTAGTGGAGATAACAATAGCTTTTACAAACTGCTGTCCAACTGTGACCCCATGAAAATTTCAGAAATCTCTATCAATGAAAAATGTTAACACTGACACACAGCATTTATGAGTGAAGATATGAATATTCCATTGTTTT